CATGAACTTGCTCTGTGGTCTTCCTCTTTTCCTCCTGCCTGCCAGCTACATCTTCAACATCCTTTGTCCAGCATATCCACTATCCCTCCTCCGCACATGTCTAAACCATCTCAGCATCACCTGTCTCACTTTGTTCCCACACCACTCAATCTGAGCCCTCCCTGATGTAGCACATTTAAAACCGAAGGCACACCAAAGTGCTTCACAACAATGTTAAAACATAAGATATAAGATAAAAGGCTAACGTATATATAACAGAATACAAACAACCCCAAAAAGTACAGACAAAATAAGAAATAAAACATTAGAGCATAGTTTAGAAGATAGAATTACTGGGTATTCATAAATATAAAGGTGGTGGGTATTTATACAGTGGAATATTGGTAGAAGATAAATAACATAAGGGTAAAATACAGGGCATGTGCACTAGCTAATTTCTATCCCTGTCCATCCTTGCTCTTTTTCGTGATAATCTTAGCAACTGCTACTCTGCCACTTCTCTGTCTCCAAACCATGCATGGCCTTATATCACAAATAACCCCGACACTCATGTGTTGTAAAAATATGTCCGCCTTGGTTCCTCACCTCACAGAAAAACTCATTCCCCCGCAGCCCACAGAACCAGGAGATCCATGAAACCTCTTCTGAACTGCTCATCTCTGAAGACCTGAAAAATGAAACAGTAAATTATGAGTGGGGAAAAAGCCAACATTCAACAGCTTCATATTACAGTAGCTAGGTCTGGTTTAACGCGGCACAAAAAGAAGCTGTTCATCTGGTGTGAGCACCTGATTAGCATTGATGCTAACCCCTGGAAAATAATGGGCCATTTCTTGTTTTTTCGATAACGATATGAATGCAACACTAAGCGTTCACTCACTAAATAACAGATTTAACCGATACTTTCGCCCAACTGGATTGTTTGTTAGTCATTTATTAACCTTTTCTTGTGAAAAGATCATAAAAGTATATCAGTAACAGTCGCTGCTCAAGATCTGTAAAGGCTAAGCCAGCTAACAGGTATTACCTTCTCCCTGTCGTTAGGGTAACTTTTAAAGTTTGCTTTATCGCATTTAGCGCAGATTTTCTGTCAAAAACACGTCTAATGAATAACAAAACAATGGGCTAAATCCGGCCTTACATGTATGCTGTAGTCCTGCGTGCCGGGTAACGCTAGCATGCTAAGCTAAAACCAGAAGAGCGTCAATATGGCGCCTGGTACGACTTCAGGCCCCGGAGCGGGGGTCTGCCGTGGCTCTTCTGCCTCTGCGCTCAAACGGCTCAACGGACTGATATGCGTAACAATGCTAACTTACCCGGCTTTCAGCTTTAACAATCCCGAAGAAATCAACAGATCAACAATTTAGCAATCTCACGGGTGTAAATAAGATGGACACCACCTCCCAGTTCACCCCGTAGGTTACGCTCTTCCTCTTCCTCCGGTCTGCCGTCGGAAGGTTCAAGACTTATCGGTGCTGCCGCTCACTGTTCAGTCCCGGTACTGCATGTTCGTGAAAAAGCTGTTTGTTAGCCCTCTTTTCCATCCTGTCTCTCTTTTTACAATAATAATTTATAAAAGTATATAAAATATGGCCCGTTCAAAGTTTTTTTTCTGATAACCATCTACTAATGAATACATCAACTTCCATATTATTCTCATCCCTATCCCTAGAATTCTCCTTTGACATTATATCCATGAATTGCTGTTGTCTTGCTCCTCCTGCATATGTCCAAACCATCTCAGCCTTTCCTCTCTTTGTCTCCACACCCCACCAACATGATCGGTCTCTCTCATGTACATACTCATTTCTGAACTTATTGTGACTCCCAATGAAGTAATGACTAAACGTTAAAATGTTTGTCATGAAACTTGGACCTAGAAATTTTAAAGAAAGCACAATTAAAATGTACAAATAAATGTTTTCTTCTGGATAACCATTGTTTGTATTATGGCTTAAAAGTGAGATTGAATCATAGTAAATATAAAGAAAAAGGAAAAAAGAAAAAAAGCTTCAACTTCAGATGATTGTTCTTTCAAATCATTCATTAACCACCATCAAAAATAATCTCATGTCGAGATAAAAGTACAAGTAACCTGCACCTTGTACATTTATCTCAACAAGAGCCGTTCATGTACAGTTATTAAATTTAATTAAAGTGGAGCTACTGTCCTGACGTTCAGCTTATTTTATGCTGGGCCTTAGTGTAGCCTGTGAGTTCATCCTGATTGATTGCCCCTCATAAGCAGAAATTTTAAACAGCATGAAGGTGTGACTTTTGTACTCTGAGCCAGAGCTGTGGAGAGCTGAGGCTCTCTCTGACATCATACAGAACCATGACTATACCATGAATAGAACCCCCCCCCCCCCAAATAAATAAATAAATAAATCAAAACAAAAAAACTATTGGACACGTATTTAGAATAGTCTGACTGCGGAAACAAATCGGTCGCTTTTGCTCCGTCCACTAAAAGATAAATGAAAGTTCAGGACAAAATATTCTCATTTCACTAAAATCCTCCAGGAGGAGCAGAGACTCCTGTGAACTGCGGCCGGATGAGCTAAAAATGGACCCAACGCCGCTTTTAGCGATGTGGAGGACGTGCTTCTGAGACGCTCCGTGGCACATCTTGTGTAATTGAAAGCAGCTCTGTGTACTCCTGTGGTGGAGCCTGAGGTTTTCTCTCAGGGATTGCTTTCACATACGCAGACCTCACGATCAGAAACTCAACATGAACATCTAACACTGTAACAACACATACATGTCACACACAAGCACCACCACCATTTATACAATCTTTCTTCTACCACACAAGCAGGCAGAGAACAATTTTATCATCAAAGAAACAGACGCACAACTTAAATGTTTCCATTAAATCAAAAGTAGTTTATTTAACTTTGCCTTCTCTGTATAACTTTATTATAATAAGACACTTCTCTGCTTGTACATTGCTCCCTTGAACTAAAAATGGCAACATTTGTTTGTGGGAATGTAAGTTGGGGTAGACAAAAACTTAGATACATACCAATATACATACATGTGTGTATATTACGGTTCCATTAATAAAACCATAAATGCTAAAAAAAAATAAAAAAAATAAAAAAAAAAGTCTGACCCACTCCAGGTACCTCAGTAATGCTGGAAACATAATACAATCTTGAGTAATTTTTTCTCTCTTTTATCTGGAATACACTTTTGTTTTTAACATGGGTACATACAATAATGCGCACATCAACATTAAGAGTTAAGGAGGGATGAAGGACTCTTTGAGCCAGTGTTAAAGAGTATAGCTATCAATGAAGAAACCAGTAACAGGCAAGGCAAGCTGCACCCACGTGTGTTCATGCTCAGAAGTCATAGTGGAAAAATAAAATATGTCCAACTTCGCTTGCCTGCTGATGAACGTATGCTTAAATTACACAAAAGAAAACCAACTGGTGACGTTTCCCACTGCAGATTCTTAATCTGGATGAACATATACACACAGCTGAATGTATATATATGTGGATGTATTTAAGAAACAGTAGAATTGTCTTAATAATAATAATTGGTTAAATCACTCGCGGGCAAACAAGGCAGAAAAGTGCTCGCCATTCATGTTATAACCCTCTGGTCCCCCACCCTCCCCTCGTTATTACACAGACACCAGAAAAAAACAAAACCAAAACAACCAAGCACACGTACATACACGCTCACGTACACGCACACATACACAAATCATCAAATGCCCTACTCACAACATCCCAGAGACAACCTTCACACCGTTGTCAGTAAACAAACGAACCCCAACTTACAGCAGTGACAGAATTGATGAAGATGTGAAAACATGTTAGTTCACCTTTGCTGTTGTCTCCAGTCTTTCTGTCTCTCTTAAACTTGTGTTTGAGTGTGTAATCTTACATCGATCCCACATTTCCTCACTTCAGGTCAGCATTAATTGTTGCAAGTAAAATCTTGAAAACCGTGCAGCAAACTGCAGAAGGCGATGCTCGGTCACCCCCCGGTTCAGCTTTAAGTCCTGAATTTTAATTTGAGCTCCCGCTTGCTGCCGTCCAAACGAAAACAGCCTTCCCGAGTAAACACGCCTGTGAAAAATACTTCATACCTCAGACAAGGAGTCCTTCTTGGTGCGAGGAGCCTCTGCTACGACAAGCAGAGGGGTGTACAACACTTGGCCTTAGCTGTGTACTCTGGGCCCAGACAGAGTACCCCGTCCTGCTTTATCATGTGTAACTTGCCCAAGTCATTAACACAAAAGAAGAGGAAAAGAACCAGCAACAGTGGATGTTTGTTATACTACAAGGAGTGCTTATTAGAACATACTCGATCATCTATCGAAGCATAAACAATTTCAGGAAAAGTCAAACATCTGCTTTATTCTATCATGACCTACATTTTCATTTAATTCATTCCCCCCAACTTGAAAGGAGGGAAAAACACATTTCCATTAAAATGGAAGTCACCCCGAGAAAATAATAGATATTAAAATAAAGCCATCACGCCATCGATACAGTCTTCCGGAGGGCAAACGGAACTCAAAGAAAGGGAGCTTCAAACTACTGCCTGTGGGGGGAAACGTTAGATTTTTGCAGTGTGCAGAAATTCTGCAGGTGAAGATGCTACGACGAGGCCAAAAACCTCCTCTTTAAAGAAAATAACAATTATAATTATAATGAAATGTCAGAGCAGATCATTCAAAAAATAAAAACAAAATTCAAACCATCGACCTGAACAAGCAGCAGAAACATTGATATAAAGACCAATCACTGAGCAGTAGTACTTTAACAGGTCTCATCACAGTAATCGGACCAAAAAGTCAGTCAGAGGAGGAATTTGGACATTTTTAGTAAAAATTTAGTTTAATGACTTGCTTTGTTGAAGAGAGAAAACACACACGCGCACGCACACACACACACACACACACACACACCCCTAAAATTCCTCACGAGGCTGAAAAATCAGAGCTGACACGAGGCCAAACAAAAGACAGAAACAAAACGTCTTATGGTACATTGTTCTTATTAAAAGATGTAGCTGCACCCCTTTCACTTGTGAAGGAAGTGATGCACAACTGCAATACAGAAAACCACACGAGGCCAGAGTGTGACAGAAATATACACAGACACATAAATATAAAAGTTTGGCCGATCCAAATATTCATGCCAATTTAATCCCACATTTTCCTTCTGGGCTCAAGTGACCTCACATGCTCTTTGTGGGGGTTTTAAAGATGTCACATTTGTGCTTGTATGTGTGAGTGTGTGTGGAGCTCAGTGTGACTGTCTTCTGTCAAAATGAGGTGTAACCCCCCCCCGCCCACCAATTGAACAATCACATGCTTGTCAAATCCAACCGGGGTGAGGAAGAGTTAAGAAAAAAAGAAAAAAAGAAGAAAAAAAAAAAGAGGGTGGGGCACAAATGAACAGAGAGCAGATGGAACAAACTGAGAAATTTACAAGAACGGACGGCAGATACGAGGATGATGCAAAGGTGAAAGAGGTGACTGGGTGGGGAAGGAGGGGTGAATACCATCTCCATTTACTGTACAAAGCACTAATGCCAACAGATAAGCTGTGAAATTACGATCAAAAAGGATTAAAGGCGTAACAGGGTGGGGGTTAATGTGGGTGGGGTTTAACTGAAATGTCGCATATTCCGTCACTTCCTATTTTTCGGTGAGGGCCAGTTGCCACGCTTCTCTCCCCGGTTGCCGCCTCCGCTGCCAGGTCCACCAGGGCCGCCGCCAGGTGGGCCACGGGGGCCTCTTCCCCCCCCTCCACCACCTCCAGGTCCTCCGGTGTTGACCCTCCGGTTCTGCCGCTCCATCCCAGGACGCTGACTCGAGAAGCTTCGTTTGTTAGCAGAGGGTTCTTTCCCCGTCATCTCACGCTCCACGATGCTGCCGCCTCCTCCTCCTCCTCCGCCTCTTCCCATGTGGTGGTGGTGATGAGAAGCATACGACTTCCCTCCTCCTCCTCCCCCTCCCCCCTCTCTGTCTCTGAACTCTGTGAAGTCGCTGCTCTCAGAAGCTGTCTCCCACTCCTCATTGGCTTGGTCTGAGTTCTGGTTGGTGAAGTCAGGCGACTTGGCACCGTGGGGGTGCTGTGGGTGCGTGGGACCCACACTGCCCTGGTTGTAGTGATGATGGTGGTGGCTGTTCGCATTACTGAGATGCCCGCCACTGTTGTTACTGTTGGCCGTTAATGTGGCGTTGTGGGTAGCATTCTGGGCATTTCCTGTCATGGGAGCAGAGACTGGGGCTCCGTTACCATCTTGCACAGAATTCATGGAAGGAGATGAGGGCCTTTCTCCACCAATGACCCCCACACTGCCGTTGATACGAGCAGCATTCTCCCGCTCTTTCAGTTTCCGGAAGCGGGGCGGCTTGTCCTGCTGGTGCTGGGATCGCCCATGACGACGGCGCCTAGGTGGTCGCTCAAAGCCACGATTAGAAGGAAGAGGAAGAGCATTTGGCCCTCCAGAGTTTGACACAGGTTTTGCAGAAGTTTGCTGGGTCGCAACTCCACCATTTTCAGTGGAAACCAGAGTAGCAGAGGTTGTTGTAGCAGGCAGAGACGGCTGAGGGGGGTTGGTCCCCTGACTTTGAGTTTGACTTCCATCAGCCACCTTGTCCTTCTTCTCACCAGCATTTCCTCCTCGGCCTAAGTCTTTATGCCCAGAGCTCTGTGGCGGACCTTGCTGTTTCCGGGCTGAAGCTGAAGACTTGGAGGACCCACCATGCGAGCCTGAGCTGGGCCCAACACGGTGTCCCCCAGCTGTTGCTCCCATATTGCCACTACTCCTGTAGATGTTTCCTCCTCCACCTCCGCCACCCCTGCCCCTTCTAGAGGGCACACCCCTAGGGGTGAAGACACGGGCCTGGGAGCCTCTGGGTGGAGCAGATGAAATGTTTACACTGCTAGTGGTGTTATCAGAGCCATTCTTGGTGTTCGATTTCTGGCTGTCTTCTTTGTCCGAGTGGCCGACATCGCTTGCTCCACTCTCGCTGCCCGTCTCAGAGCCTCTCTCCCTCCTCCTCTTGGGGATTTCTTCATACTCCGAGCCCTCACTGCGGGTTTCACTGCGGTTTCTGGCCCTGGCTGGGTTATGCTGGGACCGATCTTGACCATGCCTTCCACTGGCTCCTTCACCCTTGGATTCCTGATGATGGCCACCACCGGCTGTTGAGCGGTAGTCTCTTCCACTCCTGCCACCCATTCTGCCCCGGCTTCCACCTGTGGGTCCAGCACTAGCCATGTAGGTGCCCCGGTACCCACGGCCTCGCCCATAGAATTCTCCCCCTCTTCCTCTGCTGGCTCTGCCGCCTTTCTGGGGGACTCCATGGTGGTGAGAGATGTTGCCTCCCTTTTCAAAGGAACAGTCTCTGTCTCTCCTGGAGGAGGACCCTGAAAAACCTGATGAAGTAGTGTCTACATCTTTTTGACCTCTACCTGACCCTCCTCCAGCTGAGGATCGCTCTTTTCCACCATTTCTGGGTTTGGCTGTCTGGGGTGGCTCGTCCTTAGATGAAACTGATGTGTTCTGAGAGTTGGAGGAGGCATCCTGCTTCATAGAGACAGGCTGTCCACCATCTTGCTCTTTATCTTTTCCAAATCCTGTGCCTTGTTTTTCTCCTCCATCTGCATCCATTGCCTCTCTCTTGATTTCTTTCAGCACTGGCTTCTTAATGGGCCCAGCCCTCCTGTTGGCATTGCTCCCTCCTGATTGGTTGGAGGGTTTGTGGTCCAATGGAGTGTTGGAAGAGTCCTCTCCTCCACGGGAGTTGTTCCCACCTCCTGCATTGTTGCCCCTCCTTCCGTGAGAGGAACCCCCAGTAGTATTGCTGCCAGGCCGTGGACCCCAGTGTGTCTCTGTCTTATGCTCCCGCCCTCCTCTTTGGTTTGATTTAGGATGAGGATGCTGCTGCTGTGGGGGCTGACTGTGGCTGCCAAGTTGAGCCAGAGGTGGGCTAGAAGTGTTGGCTGAATGGGAAGTATATGCCAGACCTGTCTTCTCTTGTTTCACATGGCCACCACCTCCAGCGTTACCACTGCTGCCTCTTTCAGCGTGACTGTGCCCGACACTGGTTTCGCTCTCTCTCTGTGATGGGTGATGGTGCGGTGCCACTTTGACATTCCCATCCTCCCTGGCGGAGGAGGAAGAGGAGGAAGAGGAGCAGGAGGATGAGAGGGAAGGTTGGTGAAGAGGAGGAGAAGAGTCAGTCTTCTTAGCTGGGGCCTCACCACCTCTGTTCTCTGGCTTATGGGGATGGAGAGGGAAGTGAGGCTGTTGAGGGTGGTGGCTGTGAGGGTGGTGGAGGTGAGAGTTGCTTTCAACAGGAGGATGATCTGGGCGCCCGCTACGATCATAGTGAGGATGTGGGGCTCCCCATATCTGGCCCTGCTGAGCTCCTCGGGCAGGCCCTTCATCCTGGTGGGGGAACCCATGTGGCTGGCTTCCCCTTTCACCCGCCCTCTGATGCTGGTGAGGAGGCATCCTTGCGCCCTGATCGGGGAAGTTGCTGTAGTTGCCCTGTCCGCCGATGTAGTGATGAGGGTGATGGCTGCCTCCCTGGTTGCCAACAGGGGGTGGGGTTTGATTGGATGTCCCAGATGCAGAGCTGGGCTGCTGAATGGGTCCCAATCCACCCTCTCGCATGCGGTGTGGAGGAGTGTCGCTCCTATGATAAAGAAAGACAGAATACAAAATAGCAACTTATTCACTCAATAAATGAAAACACAGATGATAAAAAAAAAAAAAAACAATACAAACTTACATGGACACTTTTATAATTGCTCTATATAGCAACAATCTAACAGTAAAGAAGGAGGTTTTATCTTCGATCTCACTCAAACAAAACAAAACGAGTATCCATACCTGGGTCCTTTGGCCACATCATCATCCTCTGATGCCTGCTTCTGTCTCAGGGGAGAAGTTAGCCCACGGTTTTCCCCTCCTCCAGGGAACACCTCAGGCCCCCAGGCCAGCTTAGGATCCATAGGGGGAGTCCCACGGTGAGGATGCCCTGGATGCTGTTGCTGTCTGTCAAAGGGGTCTGAACCAGACCCCCCAGAATCAGACCGCTCACGCCCAATAAGCCCTGAGTAAAATTTTAAGAAAAATATCTAAGTCAACAGCCAACATTGTGACTTCACAGTAACACAATACCACTGAACATTTTAAGCATGGCCTGTAATACTGCAATATTTCCTGATTTAATTTTATTACTTGTGTTTATGCATCCACTTACCAGAAGGATGCATGCCGGCCTGATAGTATTCCATGGGTGAAGGGCGACTCTGTATCATACGAGGGTCCATGTAGGGCATCATCATCCACCGAGGGTCAAAATTCAATGGTAAGGGTGGAGGTCGAACCATACCGCCAGGCTGATACAAGGGTCCGCCCTGTTTAGGTCCAGGTACAGGCTGGGGAGTTGAACCTGGTGAAGGACCTTGTGGAGCCTGGGTCTGTGGGGACAGCTGACTTTGTGATGCCTGGCTGTGTTGTTGCTGCTGTTGCTGTTGCCACTGCTGCTGTTGCTTTAGGAGTTGCTCCTACAGAGAAGTGAATGGAAAAATGCAATCACTCAGGTTGTTTAAAAGCACTTCCCTTTGAGGAAAAAAAAGTAAAAAGAGAAAATCACAGTGGCCCTGCTCAATCAGAATGCAACAACAACTTTTAACTGAATTTCTCTCTTACGTTTGGAAAAAAAAAACAAAAACAAAAACAAACCTGCTGCTGCCTCTGAAATCGAGGTGGAAGAGACTTCTGATACTTTGAGTAGCCCTGGCCAGGAGGGCCACCAGCTTGACGACCGGATCCCCCTCCGATATTTTCGACTTTTACTTGGTCGATTCCTCTTTCGCCTCCACTTCCTGTACGGATGTGAGGAGTGCTCACAGCTTCTTCCTTACTCTCTCCTAGTAAAGGTACATCCAGTGTGGGCTGCTGCGGCTGTGGTGCAGCCAACTGGGGACACTGTTGGGTATCTAAATCAAGAACAAAGTTGCAGGGTTAAATCTGTAGTCATCATGATTATTATGTGGTGTATTTACTTAAAATGCTATATTAAATAAAGAATAGAAATGTTATTTACTTGAATGCTTCTTGATGATTTTTGTCAGGATAGGTCTGTGTTTCAGGCCATTTGCATCTGAGAAACTCACCTGCACCAGAGTCGTAACTGCTGTTGCTGCTGGGTCGCTGGCGGTCATTACCAGCTGGACCTGTCCCTGACGGGACAGCTAGCACTGGAGGCTCCTCAGAGTCCACGCAGGGGGAAGGAGGCTGGCTGATATTAGGGGAGGAAGCTGAAACTGATGGACTTGGGCTGCCTGCCATAGCAGCTGTTGAATTCCCATCAAGGCTAGGGGTTTTGCTGCCGCCACCACCACCAGCAGCACTTGTGTTGCTGCTCTGCTGCTGCTGCTTTTCATCCAGCCTCTTCAGCTTTTCCGCACAGGCTGCACGTCTCTCCTCCTCCATCCTGCGTTCTTCCTCTTCACGCCTGCGACGAGCTCGCTCAACAGCAGCAGAAATCTCAGAGGATGACTGCTTCCTGCGCTGACGCCACGTCTCGTCCTCATCATCCCCCTGGGCTGCATGAACCAGCAGACCAGGCTGTGTAAGAGGGTTAGGGGCTCCTGCTGCTGGTTGATGCTGGGCAGGGGCAGGTTTCCCCTGGCCAAGAGAGGCTCCCTGATTGTGGGGCCGATCCTGAGGAGTTAGAAAACACTGAATGTTTTATCATGAAGTTTTTAACCTTCCAAGTGAAATTACTGTAATCTTTTAAAAAGTAGAAATGTATGTATGAATGATAATCTCCACTGTAACAAAAACCAAAGTGAAGGGGGGGAAAAGGGAACTTAAAACTAAAAATGACTTGGCTATAAGACCCGTAGGTGGTGGATGAGGCAATGACAGAAATGATTATTCTATGAGGCCCTGTCCTGATGTCTACCTGTCGGTAAAAGGAGTAGGGCCCTGGTCCGAGGAGCGGCCCAGGTGGGGGGGAGGGCTGCTCCTGGGGACCACCCAATCCAGGCCTGCGCCCCTGTATACAGGCAGACACAGTTAGCTAAGGTCCACCACAATGATCTACACTGATGCAAAATACAGACACTCACACATGCCTGCCCACTAAAAAAGTCTTGCCTTGACAGAATTAACTCTGTAACCTGTTTTCAATTTGAAAACTTCACAAGGCCTCAATGTAAGGTAAAACCATAGGGCCTTATCCACTGCAGGAACTCAGAGCACACATTTACAACCCCAAATCAGCCCGTTTAAGCCTGTTCCCATTGCGGTGTAGGATTCACCACAAATCTTCCTGTTCCAAAAAAACCCCCAAAAAATATCGAGGGATTCAAGAGGACAATTCTACGTTGCTTCTCTTCCTCACCTGCATAGTAGTTATAGGCAAGTGTTTTTTGGTCTGAAAACACCCCTTTAAGAGGTCCTAAAGGGATGGTTCCTAAAAGAGCCCACAGGTTCCTGCAGTGAAAAATGTCTTGTTGTTACTGCTGTTCAACACAGTACCTGATAGGCGGATGGCGCTCCCTGGCTCACCCAACCACTACCTCCCTCCTCGGCCCATCCTGGCTTGCTGGAGGGGGGTTGGGGGCCATTGTCAACATTAGAGGGAGGGGTCCTGCGGGTCTCTCCACCGCTGTCTGAGGCTCGAGAGTGAGAGGTTGCATTGGGGGCATCCTGAGACCTCTGCTGATCACTGAGGACAAGAAGGACAAAAAAATGTAAGTGAATAATATCTAGAAAAACAACAACAACAACCCCCCCCCCAAGAGTACTGTAATTTAAATGTATTTGGTCACTCACCGCAGATCAATCTTGCTCTCGTTTCTATCCTCTTCTCCCTCTTCCTCTCCTTCATCATCGCTGAATTTCAGCTTGGCGGAGTAATCTATCTCCTCATGAGCTCCTGTTTCAGCAAAACAACAAAAAACAAAATGGAAGCCATCAGAACCATGTTTGTGCCAAACATCCACAGTGTAACATTATTCAGCAACCATCACTAATCCTTCTCCCTCCCTCCAGCAACTTAAACCATGCTGGACAGATCAGCATGAAATTTGATATGCACCAACAACAGCAATCCTGGAAAGCAGAAAAAGGAAGGCTCGGCAGAACACGCTCTGCACAGCTGAACTAAATTAACTTGCATAAGCAAGACACACAAAAACAAGTCTTTACTTAAAACACAGAAGGTTATGATTCTTGTTCTAGGTCTGTAACAACATTAAAAGTAACCAATTATTATTGTTTTAAAGCCATTTGTTAAAATTTCTGTTTCTGCATGCTTTAGAGCCCTCCTCCAAACAGAAAACATTCTGTTTTTATTATAGATAGGAACAACTTCAAAAAGAAAATAACTTCATTTAACAAAAACACTGTTTTAGTGTATATTTGGAGGTGGCTTACAAACTTAGAACCAGTTTTATGATGTTTCACCTTTGTGAATGGAATTTTATTTAAATTTTTTTTTTTTTTTTTACCTGCCCAGCCTTCGTCTCCATCGTGGTCCAGCTCATCTAGCTCCTTCAAATCGTCTTGTTTTAAAATGGAGGGTCGCTTTACCACCTCTCCACCCACATCGCGTGGACCGCCCTGTGACCTGCTCTCAGGACCGACCGGCCCACGAGAGAACCTGAAATAATGGGGGAGGTTCTTTTTTAAGGGATATGATGAAAGAAAAGAAAAAAAGCATGGCCCAAAAAAAGCAGCTCTTGATTACTTAGGAGTTAAACTATAGGCCATTTGACTGCACTGAAGAACATTTTCCCTCCACAGTGAAATTAAAAGTAGATGAAGTAGCATCTCAGTGAACATACCTTGGAGCTGTCCCTTCACCAGGTGGTGGGTACCTGTAGGGCCCTTGAGGCCCATAGGGGCCCGGGAAGGGCAGATAGGGAGGATACATCTAGGGAGTAATAACAGATCCAGTTCAGACACCCATTTCTTTTGTTTTTGTTTGTTTATTTATTTGGGCGAGAAGATAAAGATAAATGCTAATAAAAGAAAACTAACACTTACGAAGGGGGGTATGATCCCTCGATATTGGGGGAACCCAGGCCCCACAGGAGGCTGGGGCAAGGGCAGGGCGGGGCTGCCTGCAGGAGGGTTCCTAGGTGGCCCGTGGTTCTGTGAGTTTGGAGGGGGGACCCCTGCTGCCCCATCCATCACCAGAGCTCCACCAGTGCCACCCTCGGTTACCCCCTCCCCAGGCAGGGTGGGTGCCAGGGCTCGGCCCCCACCATCCCGCCAACTTGTAACGTCTGAGGACAGTGAAGACAGGAGAGGACGGAGTGGTTAGTATGATTTATGGACTTTTATGTAATCAGAACAAGAATGGAAAGTCATTTTTTATGATTATGAATGTGAAAAGCAATGAATATCAATACTGTCAATTAGTAAAGTTCAAAAATAAATAAATACAAATGAAAATCCTGCCCGAGGTGTTTCTCTCCAAACTACCATAGACAAATAAGTGGATGACAAATTATTAGAGACAAAGCTTGCATTACTCACTCTGGGGGCGGAGGCTTGGTCCGGGCCCATACCACTGATCTGCAGTGCCCTGTTCTTTGCCAGCTTTGTCCTGGTCGCCAGCCGCCTGCAGGGTGGGAAATTCCTCGCGAGAGAATGGCGACGGTAGGTTTGATCCCTTTCCACCTGCAAAAACATATGATGAAAAGAGGGGCTGAGTTGCAAACAAACAAACCCATTGAAGGACATGCAGCAAAAGAAGGACTCACCATCCCCTTGTGTTCCATGTGTTCCACTGGCCTGTGCCCAGGACCTTGCCCCTACGGCCTGGGTTGAAGCTGGGGCCAGAGCCTGAACACAGTGCACACACAAAGTCAAATACCATATGATACACGCCAGCTAGTAGTGCTAGATGTCTTTCGGCAACCATTACTCAGGGTATATTCTGTTTTAATGTTATGGAGATAACGTGTACCTCTGAAGCTTGCGGGGTTCTCGGGCGGGTCGGTGCAGGTGTCTGTGAAGCCACAGGCTGCTGCGACTCCGGCTGCGGTGCTGACAATGCATCGGTACTGAGAGGGAAAAAGCAGACATACAAGTCTTCAGACCGAATGCAACAAGCAATCACACAAGAATAAAACTACTTGTTACATTAACACCCAATAACTTAAAGGTGTTTGATTACAGCTTTCTTACCTCTTTGGGTCTGCTGCTTCCTGTTTGCTTGCCCATCCTGTGCCGTCTTTGGGAACGAGCGAGACGTTAGGATCGTTGCCTTTGTTCTCTGCCTTCAGACTGGGCAGGTTGGCAGGGGGTGGCATACGCCGCGCAGAGGCAACTTTACCAAGAGACTGCAGGCCATGGCGTGGGGGAACTGATATGGAAACAAGAATAGAATAGAATAGCAATAATTCTTTAATTGTCCCACAAGGGGAAATTTGGTTGTAACAGCAGGAAGTCGCTAGCACAGATGGACCACTGAAACCCTACACTGGTGAAATCCAGAGGGAGCCTGAAAACAGGGATGGCGTTCTGATTACTTTCTGGATGTAAAATTAGGGTGCTGAATCACTGAGAAGGCTAAAAACGTGGTGGTTTTGGTCTGGTGATTCTAATGAATGTGGATTTATTTATTTTTTTAAACAAACAAACAAAAAACTCTCTTGACGTTATTAAAAACATTCAGCAAACCCACTTCAATTACAATTTTATAGAGAAGCATTAGCACATTGATGCTTACAGAACCATGGAAAAGCCTAAAAGCGAAGCCGTTCTGAATATCAATCCCTCATTTGTTTTCCTAAGGCTCAGAGCAACCACAGCAGCTTCAGGCCTTCACTATGTAAGAGGGGGCAAGTCTGTAGTCGGGGAAAGGGGACAGCTGCTTGAATCTAGAGGGCAGCCTCTGAATAAAACATAAACTGGGGTCTCAGCATAGAAGTCAAACAGCATCCACAAGTAAGCCTCTGTCTCTGGTCAGCCTCAGTGTCTCTGGAGCTCAGCTAATACATCGAGCCTCGAGAGCCATTCACCCTCCAGGACCCCCTTTTCCCTTTGTTATTTCTTTAACACGTCAGTGCAAACACTAGTCAATAACAAACAGTATAACACAGTTTCATCAAAAAACAGTGCTGATAGACAGACAGACAGACAGACAGACAGACAGACAGACAGACAGACAGACAGACAGACAGACAGATAAACTTTGTGTATTAAAAAGCAGCGCCATTAAGGAGACCCTAAGCTAACACTTCAAAGTTGCATTAGTTGGTGCAAACACAGTACAACGAGAAAATTGTAATCACACTAATGAGCAGATCCGACTGAGATATGTTTGTTTAAGGTTCAAATGATCAGTGACAGCACAGGTTTTTACTAAACCACACCACCTGGCAGAATTTAATTAGAGCCCTTTGAAATCTGTTACAACTGCTTAGAAAGTGATGTATGTTGAGGATGTAGATAATAACAATGTTATCATCTACATATTATGATATGTTGTGATAGCCATAAGCTCTGACTTTCAGGTTTTACCAAACCAGCTAATTCAAAGAAAGCCTGGCTATGCTGAATCTGATTCATAATACACCCCCTCTGGATGTATGCTGTGAAAGCTTGTGTGTTCTGAAGATACTCACCAACAGGCTTTTGTGTTTCAAGGCTCTTTCCTTTGTATGTATCAAACAGGTTGAGAGACGCATACTTGGTTTTGCCTTCCTTCCCCTTTGCAGTTTGCCCAGAGCGATCTGACATTGCGCTGTCCGCTCATTGAGTATGGTGAGCCCTGAGACTGTAGAAGAAAGAAGAGACAAGGATAACAAGAATACACAGAAAGAGAATGAAAGTGCTGAATTTTAACTATATTTAACAAGGGATTACAGATATGATACAGTTATGTTTCTTCCAGCTGACATTAGGTATAATTGCTTTCAGATTAATAGGTGTAGCAAACCTTTCTTTTAAGATAGCTCTATGAAACAGGATATTCTGAAACACAATGACACAGCACGTAGGGATAATACACTCAGATTAGTTTATTTTTTTAATTTTTCTACGAATCTGAATAATTGGCAATTTACAGCATTTTCTGGGGCTTTTCTGGTTTAATTTTACTTCTATGTCTGAAGCAATATTCCTCCATTTTAAATTTTTTGTCAATTCAAATGACAAAAAAGATGTCAACAAAATATTTGGCAAATATCAGCATCATCTGATACCAGACTTACTGATTTTTAAACAAATTAATGAGATGCCATGTACCTACATGAGTGGCTCATATTTAACTTTTTACATTCCTTTTGCACTGGCTAAAGGAAGACAGTCTTTGTTTCTCTGACACAGGTGGGAAATACAAAAAATACATTTAAAAACATTAAAACACAAGAACTCTTGTCTCATTATTAGCTGAAGTGTTATTGTAAACATCAATATTAGCCCACAATTTTTCAGCCTGTCCATCAGTAATTTAAACAAAGGATTGCAAGTTGATATATTTTAACATCTGCTACATTTACGACCGATACATCTGATTTAAAAACACTTGTTTTTATATTTTGAGGTATTCATTCAACACTTAGCAACTTAGTAAAGACTGGTGTGACTTTGACTGACCTGTCTGTAGACAGGGGGCTTATGAAGTTAAACAACTTCCCTATGACAATGTGGACAACAGTCGAGGAAACCAGCTTCGTAACATAAAAATTAACTGAAAGCTTTTGAGCATGTGTATAGGTAAGACCATAAGTTTTCTGTCACATATTGCTGAATGTCATCTAACTTGGATTTGGTGAATCAACAACATATAAAGACAAGAATCAACACAGTTTTTGGATCAGATAATGGTCCAATCCTGACTCAAAAAGCTGGACTAATATATTGGTGACCTCTGAGACAAATATATTCAGTTCAATTCCACTTTTCTAGCAGGAGAGCTTAACACAACATGGAAGAGGCTAACAATAAAGCAACAGTTTTGAATTTAACCAAGAATTGTGGCCACGTGACTGGAAAAGTCAGGCGACAGGAATGCCTTCACTGCCCTTTGCTTCGAAGCACTTGCAATTTTTATGATAACAATGCATTCTTGACAACTTGGTTAATATTATTTGAATTTCAGGTTTCTAGTCAACTCTACTCCAATATGTGTGTCAAAACGTTAAGTACTTAGCTAGAAAGGAGAGACTAGAGTGCAAAGAGCAGTAAGCAGTAAAGAATAAAGTAGAATTCATGGTAGCATGTTCATGTTTATTTTGGTAGGCATTTGGCTAGTCAACCTACAAAGATGTGCTTGAATGTGCTTGTATGCAGTCCCCCACAGCCAAAAAATTAATTAATAAATAAAAAAAGCATGTAGCAGTGATGATATGCATGCATAGGATGCTGACTGATTAAAAAGTTGGGTCAAACATTAAAGGAGGTGATAATGCAGTTCACCACGGAGAGAAAGAAGTGTTAAAAAAATAATATTAATAAAGAAAATAAGCATGAGAAGCACAGAGCTGCAGTGTTCATTACTTTTAACACCTGGCTTCACATCACTACAAAGAAACATGAGTTTGTTCTCTGTGGCAATGGTTAAAACTAAAGGACAAATAACAGCGCAAACACATACCTTTTGGTCTACACAGTTTTAGCTCTTCCCCCTTCTGACAATACATAGACACAACATGCAGACATTGGTCTGCAAAGCTCTGCATAGGACTAACACATAGCCAGGGTCATTCCTTAATTTAATTTGTCTTAATTTGTCATCCCTCACCACGAGGTCCCATCTACAATTCAAGAGATACTATAACGTACTAACTAAGCCAGCACCTTTCATCAAGACTTAAAACTGTCTTTATCGACAGTGTCTGCAGTTGTCCATATCCACAACTGAGTACAATCCCTAGCCAGCTATCCACTATTCAAATACATTAGATAAACTGTGCATTTCTGATTTTTAATAAAGACCTTATGTGTAGACTACTGTTGCCATATATATA